CGGATGGATGGAGGGATGGATGGATGGACCACTGTATTCATTAGGTGGAAGATGGGGGACAGATGGATGGGTGATGGTTAGACGGATGGATGGAGGGATGGGTAATGGATGTTTGGATGGGTAGTTAGGCCACTGGTTCATTGGATAGATGATGGATGGATAATGTTTGGATGATTGAGCGGCTAGATGAATGACAGTAACATGATGTAGTAGTTATCTATTGCTCCATAACAAATCACCCCCAAACCAAGCACCTTGAAACAACTAACATTTATTGTGTCACACCATTTCTGAGATTCAGGAATCTGGGAGCAGCTCAGCTGGATGGTTTTTGCCGAGTCTCTTGTGAGACTGAAGTCAAGCTCTCCATCAGGGGTACAGTCATGTGGGGCTAGAGGATCCACGTCCAAGCTCACACACATGGTTGTTGGCAGGCATCAGTCCCTCGTTGGCTCTGGCTGGAGGCCTCAGTTCCTTACCACGTAGGCTCTCTGGCTTCCCTGAAGGCAAGGAACCCAGGAGATAATGAGAGTGAGCCAAGACAGAAAATGCAGTCTTGTATAACCTAATCTCAGAAGCAACACACCGTCACTTCACTGTATTGTATTGGTCATAGAGACCAACCCTGGTACAATTCAGAAGGCATCCACATACACCAGAAGGCAAGGATCACTGGGGCCCCCAATAATTCATGTCTCTCCCTCATGCAAAACACACTCACCCCCTCCCAAGTGCCCCCAAATTCTCTTCCCATGACAGTATCAGCCTAATGTCTGGAACCTCATCACCTACATCAGGTCTGGGCGTGAAGCGCTCACCCTGTTGGTCTCACCCCTGAGACAAGTGATGTTGTGCCGCCAGCCACATGCCCCGCATACAGTGGTGGGACAGGCACAGAGTAAGGCCACGCATTCCCCTGTTCAAAAAGAGGGAGAGGACTGGAGCGCATACAGGTGTCACTGGTCGACAGCAGTTTTGAAATCCGGTTGGGCAACTATGGGAAGTTCCTTGATCGGAACTCATTCCTACTACTTCCTAGGGCCTTTCTCCATGGTTCTTGTCTCCACTCTGTAGACGCTGGGCTCCTCACTTGGGAGTCCTCCTTGCTTTTTCATAAAGGGTAATGTGTATTTGCAGCTGAGAGGGTTTTCATGACCTTCTTTCTCGTTAGGGAACTTTGGTGGCCCAAAGGTCTCTCTTCATTTAGTACCATCTCTGTCCCTTCCAGCTTGGACTGTTTATATAATAATCTTAAAAAAAGGGCGCCTGGGTGGCTCAGTCAGTTAAGCATCTGCCTTCAGCTCAGGTCATGATCCCAGGGTCCTGGGATCGAGCCCCACATCGGGCTCCCTGCTGGGCGGGAAGCCTGCTTCTCCCTCTCCCACTCCCCCTGCTTGTGTTCCCTCTCTCGCTCTGTCTCTCTCTGTCAAATAAACAAATAAAAAATCTTTAAAAAAAATCTTATAAAAAAATCTTAAAAAAAAATGTAGGCGTCTTAGGTGAATCTCTTCGGAGGTTACTCCTTTAGACAGAAGTCATGCCCACAATCTCTTTGAGATAAGCCCTTCTCTGCTTTGGGCTTTTGCTGAGATGCTGAGTGACAGTCCTCAGAAATTTAACAGAAGCCCCGTTGTCTGATTGAGAGGGTATGTGGGGCACATCCTTAAACTCTAAAGTGCCGTTGTCTGACTAAGGGATATTCTAGGCAACACTTTGATCTTCCTTAACAAAGAATTTTATAGTCATACCCTGGGCCTCATCTTTAGACCATGCCCTCCCAAGAGTGCTCTTCTCTGCTCAGTTTTTACATCCTTTGCCACCTGGGGAGTTCCCAGGGTCAGCGAAACCCAAGGTGAGGGCCGCAGTCCTCTCGTCTGCCACGTCTGTCCGAGACTTCCAGCATCAGCTGCAAGCTCAGGGTGGGAGGGGTTGCCCAGGGCCACCCTCACTATAGACCAGCTGCCTACAAATTCAGAGATTCCCACTGACTCCCTCAGTCTCAATAATTTGCTAGAAGTAGCTCTAGAACTTAGGACAGCACTGGACTTAATGATGATAGTTTTATTACTTCAAAAGAATATTACAGCCAAACGAAGAAATGTATAGGGTGGAATCTGGGACTGGGAGGGTCCCAAATGCAAAACTTTCATGACCCTGGCGACATGTCATGCTCCCGGCAGCACACATGGCGTATTGCCACACCAGGAAGCTCACCCAAGTTGTGGTGTCCAGAGTTTGTTTGTTTGTTTTTTAAAGATTTATTATTTATTTGAGAGAGAGAGAGAGAGAGAGCGTGAGCAGGGGGAGGGGCAGAGGGAGAGAATATCCAAGCAGACTCCTGCTGAACTCAGAGCCTGAAGTGGAGCTCAATCCCTGAGATCATGACCTGAGCCGAAACCAAGAGGCAGACACAACGCACTGAGCCAGGCAGGTGCCCCAGGTGTCCAGAGTCTTCAGTTAAGGGTCATTATGTAGGCATGGCTGAATTCTTGCCCATGCAGTTGACCTTGATCTTCATCTCCCCAACACACACGCTTCTCCTGGGGGTTAGGCTCATCTCATGTGGCCCCAATCCTCTCATCACATGGTTGGCTCTTTGGGCACAGCCAGCCCCCCAGCCTGAGTCATCTTGTTGGCATTCGCTGTCAGATGTGGCCCCAGAGGCTCACCATGAGGAGCAAAGACGCCTGTCACTCAGGAAATCCCAAGGAGCTGGGGCAAAGGCTGCACCTCGTTTTGGGTAAAGTTAATTCTTCATTTGAACGGCGAGGTTGAGAATCTTCCAGACCTTCAAGTCCCCAGCTCCTTCGTGTTTCACATTTCTCCTTCAGCTCCTCTCTCCACTTGCCTTTACTCCAAGTGGCAAGAAGAAATCAGGCAGCCGTTCAGCACTCGGGCTGGGAATCTTGTAGCTGGATCGCCTGGCTCACTAGTTACCTGTTCTGAGTTCCACAAAACCGCACGCGACACTAAAACTTTAGCCACCACACAACAAAAACCTCCTTTCCTCAGACTTCTGGTCACGCATTCCTCACCTCCCTTTATGCCCTCACGGGCCAGCTCCTCATGCTTCACGTTGTTTGTTCAAGGCAGTCTAGGCCCCGACAGGCTCTCCAGAGCCCTTCCAGCCCCCACCCCCTGCCCAGTGCCAAAGCCGTAGGGCAGCACCCCACTCTTGGGATCAAAATCCTACCTGTCATTTGTTTGTGGGTAACAAATTCCCCTAAAACTGAAAATAACAAGCATGTACAACCTCATGTAATTTCTGGGGATCAGGGGCCTGGGAGCCACTTAGCGGGGTGGCGTTTGCTCCGGGTCTCTCTCTCGAGGTTGCAATCGAGATGTCATCACCCAGGGCTGCCATCACTTGAAGGCTTGCAAGGGACTACAGGATGCGCGTCTAAGATCACTCACTCATCTGTTGGCAGGACGTCTCAGTTTCTTGCCATTTGAGCCTCTCTGTAGGGCTTCCCCCAGAGCACGTGACCCGAGAGAGTTTGCAGCAAAAACAGAAGCCATGGTATCTTTATAACCTAATGTTGGGAGTCCCACACTGTCATCTCCTCAATAGCCTATTGTTCCCAGCTCAACCCCAGTTGCTGTAGTGGGGGATTACACTAGGGCTCAGATACCAAGAGGCGAGGATCCTTGGGGGCCATCTTGGTGACTGGCTACACAGAGTCCTTCTACCCATTTTACAGATGAGGAAAGTGAAGCTCAGACTCTTGACCTCGGGCACACAACTCAGAGGTGGTGGAGCTGGGAGTCCAGCTCAGGCCCACCTGAGGCTGAGGCCCTTGCTCTTAACCTCCTCCTGCCTCCCGCAGGACGTCGATGCTCTGGATCTGGAGATGCTGGCCCCCTACATCTCCATGGATGATGACTTCCAGCTCAACTCCAGCGAGCAGCTACCCAGGGCCTTCCACAGACCTCCAGGCGCTGTCCCCCGGCCCCGTGCTCGGAGCTTCCATGGCCTGTCGCCCCCAACCCCTGAGCCCTCCCTGCTGCCCCGCTGGGGGAGTGACCCCCGGCTGAGCTGCTCCAGCCCTTCCAGAGGGGACCCCTTGGCACCCTCCCCCATGGCTGGGGCTCGGAAGAGGTGAGCCACAGTAGCCGGAGGATATAAAGGGAGTGACCCCCTGTCTTGCTTTTGCCTCCTGTTTCAGCCCCATCCCTCATCTTTCCTCCTGCTGACCTGCTGATCTCTGCTCCAGCCAGGCCACATCCCCAGCCCATGCCATGTTTGTTCCAACCTCCGGCTCTGCCTCGGCTGTGCCCCCTGGAGTGCCCTCCACTCTTCTCCTCGTTTATCCAAATCCCACCGGTCCAGTAGGGCCCTCTCCTTTACAACATATTTATATCTGGCCTTGTCAGGATTTTTGTCACAGTTAAGAGAACATTGCAACAGTGTCAAAGAAACTGTCTAGAGCCAAGTTTCCTAACACCTTTGAGAATCTGTTGAAAGCTATGGACTCTTTCCCAAGAACATTTACACATACGTACAGATGCACAATTTTGCATATAATTTCAGAGGGTCCATGTCCTTCCAGAGACATTAAATTACTAATACTCAAGCTTTTGCTGTCCACGTTGCAGGCATGTGCCCATTTAGTGTCCAGAATGGTTCCTTTACTATCCCTATGAGGTTTTATGGATACATCTCATTATTTCCCAAAGCTCTCAGCTTCGTGCTGGATACACAGTGGGTGCCTGATACACAGTGGGTGCCTGATAAAGGCTTACTGAATGAGGGAGGGAGGGAATTAATGAATATAGTAGGTAGATGGATGGACGGTGAGTGGGTGGGTGGCAGATGGATCACTGGATAGATGAATGGGAAGATGGATTGGTGGGTGGGGTGGCTGGATGGATGGATGGACGGATGGATGGGTAGATGGATGGATGGGTGGGTGGGTGGGTGGATGGGTGGATGGATGGATGGATGGACGGATGGATGGGTAGATGGACGGATGGGTGGGTGGATGGGTGGATGGATGGATGGATGGACAGATGAATGGACAGATGGATGAACAGATGGGTGGGTGGGTGGGTGGATGGATGGATAGATGGATGGATGGACGGGTGGATGGATGATTGGTGGATGGATGGATGGATGGATGGACGGACGGATGGGTAGATGGACGGATGGGTGGGTGGGTGGGGGGGTGGGTGGATGGATGGATGGATGGATGGATGGACGGGTGGATGGATGATTGGTGGATGGATGGGTAGATGGACGGATGGGTGGGTGGATGATGGGTGGATGGATGGATGGGTAGGTGGATAGATGGGTGGATGAATGGCTGATGGATAGAAGGATAGGTAGATATACAAGTAAAGGAATAAACAGGCACTTGGGAGAGTGAATGAGTGCTCATCACCTGCTTACAGTGGTGCCCACACCTGCTCAGGTTTGTTGTGTTCTGAGATTCTGACCTGTTTCCCTCCAGGACCCTGGCTCAGAGCTCAGAGGACGAAGCCGAGGGGGTGGAGCTGCTGGGAGTGAGACCCCCCAAACGGTCCCCCAGCCCAGAGCCCGAAAATTTCCTGCTGCCTCCCCTCAGCCTGGTATGTTGGGGGATTTGTGGGATTCTCTGGCCCTCAGAACCTAGTGGGCTTAAACCTACTGTTTTACGGGTGGGAAAATCAGAGGGGCAGGGCCTGGCTGAAGGTCAAATGGAAGGTGAGTCATCCAGGTGAGGCTAGGACCCTGAATTGCTAGCTCAGGTCATGGGTATGAAAAGGCTCTGCAAATTCATATAAGTTGGTGGTAAGTTCTAAGAAGAAAAATTAAGCAGGGTAAAGGGGGGAAATGACAAAGGCTAGTATGTATAGCAACTTCTCCTGTGGGCCTCCCTCCCAAACCTAGAACAGTTCTTGGCCTCGGATTATTAGTGTAGCATTAAGAGTCCAGGCACTGAAGTCAGACTGACTTGGGTTCAAGTCCCAGGTCTGCCACCTAGTAACTGCGAGACCTTGAGCAGGTGATGGGACCACCATGAACCTCAGTTTCCTCATCTGGGCAGTGGGATGGTTACATCTCACAGGACTCATGAGAAGCACATGAAAACAGGCCGATCCTTAGTGGCTATTGATGAACCGTATAAAAACCACCAAGCAAACGCAACATCCCCCGTCCCCTTCCTTCCCCCATCTCCCTGCTTCCATCTCGCTCCTGCTGTCCTTTCAGCACAACGGCAACCAGGACGCCCTTTCCAAAACCCAGCCTAGGCTGCGCCCCTGCCACCAGGCCTCCCTCCAGGACCTTCCGTGGCTCTCTGGCTCCTCACTCGGAGCAGGGCTATTTGAACGCGAGAGGAGTGTGATGGTATCCACAGCTGATAGTTACCGAGTGTCTACCTTGCGGCAGACGCTGCGCGAAATGCCTTGCGTCATTAAACTCTTTCATCCCCACGACCACTCTTCAGATACTGTTGCCCTGATCGTTAATTCTTCACAGTCACATTTGCACAAGAGAGGACGAGCAACTGCATTGGTCAGAGTCTGGGCAGGAAAGAGCACGCGCACATGGGGGCGTTGAGGAGCATTTAAAAGCAGGACCACTGGGGCGCCTGGGTGGCTTGGTCGTTAAGGTCGTGATCCCGGGGTCCTGGGATCGAGCCCCGCATCGGGCTCCCTGCTCCGCGGGAAGCCTGCTTCTCCCTCTCCCACTCCCCCTGCTTGTGTTCCTGCTCTCGCTGTGTCTCTCTGTCAAATAAATATATAAATAAATAAAATCTTTAAAAAATAACTAAGTAAAAGCAGGACTGGCAAAGGTGTGGGCAGCACACTGGGAATCAGCAAGAGGTGGCACATCGCAGAGAAGCAGCTGGATCACATAGCACTGCTTCCTCCCCCCTCCTGCTGGCATCTCCTGTTTGGCGAACCCAGCAGGAGCACATGGAGCCAGGACTCCGTGATTCTGGAGCCCACATGCACGGTCCACCTGCTGGGGCACAGACAAAGGGCAGGACAAGGCTCTGGCGGGGACACACGGAGGAGATCTAGGACGCTGGCTTCACCCACAGTCAGACAGCCCGTCCGCGGCCGCTGGGCCCCGCCACGCTCTGAACCACAGCCGCACTGTTGTACCTCCTGGGACAGTGACAGTGACGACGGTGGTGGTGGCAGCTTTGTCTTTCTCCTGCAGAGCTTCCTTCTGACAGGAGGGCCAGCCCCAGGGAGCCAGCAGGATGCCAGCACCCACCTCCTGGAACTGAATGAGCCCCTGCGTGAGTAGCACAGCCCTGTGTCCCTCTCTCCCCAAGCAGGTGCCCCAGATGGCTGAGAGAGGGGAGGGGCGGGGCAATCCAAAAGGTGGGAGGGGGGCGCTGTCAGTGGCTGGACCAGACCTTGGTAAAGACAGACAGCCCTTCCCTGCTCTCAGCGGCACTGGGGGGTGGGGGGGGAGAGGCCCCCAGGGAGGCAGGGGCTTGCCAAAGCTGCACCTTGGGGTGGAAGCTGAGTCCAGGCCCAGGCTAGGCCTCCCGAAGCCTGTGTCTGATTACGATTTGGGCTTGCCCTTCCTTGGTCATTCCCAGCTGTGTGGCTTTGGGAAAGACTTAGGACCTGTTATAATAGTTCTTACCTTAAGGAGATGTTTTCAGGATCTGTGGAGGGGCAGCACAGGAAAAGCTTATTAGCACAAGACCTGATTGGTAGTAAACGCTCGAGAAACGTCCGCCATCACGCGACGTTGGTGCTGCAGACCCTCCACAGAGTGAGACAACTGCTAGGCTTCTTTAGGTTACCATTCTCATCGTCCAGCACAATTGTCAGTCGCCAGAGCTCCACCCCAAACCTCCACGCATCAGCTAGGGGATCTTCCCAAAGCACGAATCTGACCCTGGCCTCCCTCTGCTCCCAACTCATCCATGGCTCCCTAGTGCTCTTCCGAGAAAGAGCAAGCTCCTCACCTTATGCTCCAGTCTCTGCGGGGTCTGACCGCTGCCTCATCTCAGACCACACTTGGCTTCACATCCTGTTCCAGCCACGGTCACGGTCTTTTGGTTCATTCTGTCCTTCATACACATAACAAAGATTTACTGAACGCAGAGTCAATGTCAGGCACTGTCCTAGGAGCTGGAGACACAACTGTGAACAAAAACAGAAATCCCTGCTGTCACAGTGCTGACGTTCTAGCGGGGGACACAGTCCAGAATAAAGACGCAAATACAAGAAGGGGCGTGAGAGAGGAAGCTAAGTGCTTCCAGGAAAAAATAATGCATGCAAAGGGAAAGGGAACTTGGGGGTGGGGGGGATTTCAATTTTAAGTAGTATGATTAAGAGTGGTCTCATGGAGAAGGCGACATTTGAGCAAAGACCTGAAGGAAGTGAGAGAGTGAGCCGTGACAATTTCCGGGGGAGGAGCATTCCAGGCAGAGGGAACAAATGCAAAGGTCTGGAGGTGGGAGTATATCTTAGTTGAGGAAAACAGGGCCAGTACAGTTGTAGCAGAGTGGCGCGGCGGAGGGTGGGGGGGCTAATTGCGTGGGGACTCTGTAGGGCATTGTGCTGACTTTGAAGTAATCTCACTTGAGGAGACAGCCTCAGGACCTTTGCATATGCTGATCCTTCTGCCTGAATGCTTTTCCTTCTATTCTTCGCCCAATTACTGCATCCTTTAGATCTCAGATCAAATATTACGCCTTCCATGAAGCCCTCCCTAACTTCCTAAGCTCATGGCTCATAACATCGTAGACCATATTTATGTGGGTGTTTATGTCATTATTTGATTTTTGGCTGTCCTCTCTCTGTGGGTGTGAGCCGTGTGAGGGCAGGGGCCAGGCTTGTCTTGTCATGGCTGTACTCTACTGTCTGTGAGGCAGGGCAGTGGCTGGACACAGAGCAGGGCCTCAGTACATATTTGTAAAGGAAGAGCTAATATTTATCTAGCACTCACTCTGTGCCAAGTTTTGTGCAAAACCTATTGTGTACATGACCGAACTGACACCCTTCCCTAGAACTCAGGGCAGGGAGTTTCGTCTGTCCTGTTAACTGCTGGGTCCCGCGTGCCTGGCACACAGCAGGTGCTCAATAAATATTTTCTGACTGGGTAAATTCTTACGAGTGAGGTAGGTCTAAGTCTCCCTGTTTCCTGGGTAATAGCAGGAGCTCACTTACTGAGCGCTCACCAGTACTAATTATTGTCCAAAGCACTTTACATGGATTCACTCATTCCCTTCCCACAGTAGCCCTGGAAAGGAAGTATTGTTGGTGTGTTTTACATATCAGGTAGCCCAGGCACAGACAGGTGAAGTCACCTGCCTCAGGTCACACAGCAAGTAAAGAGCAGAGCCGGGAATTCAAACTCAGGCCTCATCTGGCTCCAGCCTTGTTAACTTCTGCCTTACATATCCTAGCACTTTGAGGTTCAGAGAATAGAACTTGCCCAAGATTTTACCATGGTTTGAATCCAGGCACGGCTGCCTCACCACCCACGCTTTTAACTGTCAAGAGGGGAAGACGGGTTTGGGGAGTAATCCCCCACCTTCCATCTTCCCCCCGCAGGCTTGGGCCCCTCGCTGCTCTCTCTCTACCCGGATGAGGACACCGCTGAGCCCAGGAGCCACTTCCAGCCAGCAGCAGGCTTGGCCCAGGCCAACTGAGCCAGCCCCCCTTCCCTTCTACTCCCCAGAAAGGACCTCAACCACACTCCACGCCGGCAGCCAACGCACAGGATGGGGGTACCAGGAGAGGGGTTCCCTCTCTCCTCTCAGCGGCCCCCCCCGCCCACCTTGGGCCTACCTCAGCCCTCACCCCTCTGCCCCCCACGTCTGGGGGCTCTTTGGGGTGGTCTCAGCTCAGTGACCTCTGGGAGGGGGGCCCCTGGAGCCCTCCTCCTCCTTCTCTCAGGACTTCCCTTGGGGTTCTCAATACTGGTGACCTCATCCCTTTCTCCAACTCTCCTGGCTTGATTTTGGGTGACTAGGGGTGGGGGAGGTTGGGGCTCAGATCTGTGTTTCTGGGCTCTGGGGAGTATTGATAACCATAATCACATTTCTTTTCCATCCATCTTTTATTATTATTTCTCTTTTTTCATTTTCGTGATAGGTTTTGAATTGCTATGAATGGCCTGGGGTCCATAAGAATGCAGGACTCTGATCCCCCCCTCCTCCCTCAGGTGTTAATGGGGGGGGCGTTTCAGGCAGACCTCACCCCTAGCAACTTGATTAGCCCCTTAGCCTTCCAAGTGGCCACCCCGCTCTGCCTGCCCCTCCACTGGGGACTTCCGCTGCCCCCAGCCTTGCCTGGACACTGGTTTCATTTCCAGGGGTAGCCTCCAGCTTCCTCTGCTCCCAGACCAGGCAACCTCCGGCTCTCTAAGGTTCTAGACCACATAACTTCTGACCTGCTCTTCTAGACTGCCCCGCCCCCAACACATCCTCCAAACCCCTCTGACTCCAGACCTCGCAACGTCCAGCTTTCTCGTTCTGGACCTCCCCACCTCCAGCAGTCTCTTTTCATACCTCCACGGTCTCCCAAGTTATCTGGTTCTAGGTCTCACGGCCTCCAAGTCCCTCAAGCTCCAGAGCCTACGCCCACCAGAGTCCTCTGGTTCTAGACCTTTCCCTGTATATAAGTCTCCCTTGTACCAGATGTCACATGCTCTGACTCCTGCCGATGCCAGCTCTCACAACCAACAGCTGCCTCCAACTCTGGACCCCATGACCCAAGCTTCATACTGGTTCTAGTCTTCCTGATCTGGAATACACCTGGCTCCAAATCCAGACTTCCTAATTTCTGAATCGTGTTGGTGGTACGCTTGATGCCCAGCTCCTTCCTTTTCAACTTTCTACCCTCAAGACTTACTTTCCCCATCAAAAAGAAGTAAAATGAGTTTTAAGTCGATCTTATAACGATTATAGTACTTCCAGGGCAGACTCCATGCTCTAGGTCTCTCCTGCTCTAGACCTTGTGACGACCACCATCCACTGGTTTGAGACCACCCAACCTTTAGAACTTACAGTCCCCAGGACCCTCTGATTCCGTATCTGCTGATCTCACTTTTCTCTGATTCTTGAACTTGGCTTCAGAGGTCTTCCGGTTCCAGACCTCCCCCTATCGATTCCCTTGGTTCTAGACCTCACAATCTCCAGTTTGCTGTCCAGATCTTAGGACTCCAAATTACTCTAGATCTAGAACTTAGTCTTCAGACTTCTGATTATAGACCTTGCCTTTACCAGTTTTTCTGGTTCTAGACCCTACAATGCCCAGCTCCTGATTTTAGATCTGATGACTCCAAAATCTCTCTGGTTCTAGAACTTGGTCCTCAGAGTTTTTCAAATTCTACTCTTACTCTACAGATTCCTCTGGTTCTAGGCCTCACAGCCTCCAACTGTCTCTGATTTCAGATCCAAATTCTTTTGGTTCAAGAACTCAGCCTCCAGGTGCTTCTGATTCTAGAATCTGGACGTCACCCTGTGGATTCCTCTGGTTCAGAATCTTGAGACCTCTGACTCTCTGATTCCAGACCCCACCCTCCTAATTCTATTCTGGGCTTCCTGCCCTACTCAGCTTGCCCCAATTCCTGCTCTGTCTGAAGTCTTCCCATTCCAGGTCCCTCCACTGGTGGACCTCATGCTCAAGCCTCATCATCCTCGAGCTCTTATCCCTACAGTTTCCCTGTCTTGGAACCCTCAGCTCTCCAGGGATGCACTTACCTTTACTTTACCCCAGGTACCTTGGGGACCTGGGGCTCCCTTACAATCCAGGAGACTTCCCCAGCCGTACAGACACACGCACAGCTCTATGTGCCTATCACGGGGTGGGGAGAGAGGCCAGGACTCCTTAGTACTCCTGCCACCACCTGGGTGTCACTCTTACCCTCCAACCCTGTTTCTACGATGGTGCTACTTTTGGGTCTCCCACACAAAAAGGCCCCCCCTCTCTCAGCCCAATTCACCTCCTTTTTGGAAGGCACTTCTCACTCTGTTTTGTCGTGGGATGGCCTATCCAGATTGGTGCTATGGGGAAGAAGGGTCGGGTCCCTCCTTCCCTCAGGGGGTAACCTGGGCCCTCAATGGAGGGAACTGGGCTGGGCTGGGGAGGGGAAGGGACTGGCCCAGCCACTCTGGCTCTGAAACCCACTAATCTCTATGCCACCATAAAGACCTCGCCTTGGTAGGCACCAGAGCTCTGTGTGTTGACTCATCTTTGGGGTTGCTTCGGGGTGTGGTTGTCCCGTGTGGCTGTGATTCTGTGTGTATGTGTGACTCTGTGTCCCTGCATGGGTCTAAGTAACATTGTGGGCCTGGTGATGTTGTAATTCTACATATGTGTCTTTGTGAAATAATTCTGTGACCCTGTCGGGGTGGGGAGTTGTAATTCCATGTACCTGTGTGTTAGTATCCGAGTGAAATGATCCTGCTTTATGTGTGTTTCTGGTGACTCCGGGTTTCTGTGTTCCTGAGTGTGGGAGGTTTTGTGTTGAAATTGTGCTTACACATATGGGACTGTTTGACACTATCATTCTGTATACTGATATCTATGTGACATGGTTTTCTGTACTTGAGTGTATGTGTGAGAGATTGTGTGTCTACAGATTCATGTGCAGATGGGCGTGCCTGTTGTGTCCTGTCTCTGTATAACCCCTCTCCTATGTTCCATGGAGGAATCTTTTTTTTTTTTTTTGGTCACGTTTCCTTATTTTTAAGTAATCTCTATGCCCAATGGGGGCTTGAACTCATGACCCCAAGGTCAAGAGCCACATGCTCTACAGGGCCAGCCATGTGCCCCGTCATATAGGAATCTTTTCAAAGAAAGAAAACACTTTCAAGCCTTGACATTTGTTGCCCCCTTGCCTTAAATGCCTTTCTCCCTTCCTCCTTCTCACTTGGTTATCTCCTACTCACACTTCAGATCTTGGTTCAGATACCCCCTCCTCCAGGAAGTCTTCCCTGCCCTCCCAGCAAGATGAGGTCCTCCCAAGACCTCCTGAGAGCCCCTCCCCTCACAGCTCTAGGTACTCAGTCCCACTCTGGATATTTATAATGGAGTAAGTATTAAAAAGTACTTTATTCCTATGATCTTATCAAACTTTCCTCTAATCATCTATAATAGGCACAGTTATTGTCCCCATTTTACAGAGGACGAAACTGAGATTCAGAGAGGATGATCACTTGCTAAGGTCACACAGCAGGGAAGGACTGAGCTGGATTCGAATCTGGGATTCAAATCCATTACAGCAGCTTTCCCATACACACCCCTAAAAATCCTCAAAAATCTACCCCCCAAGGTGGGCTATGGAGCGTAGAGACAGTAGAGTAGGACTGAAGAGCACAGAATCAGGTGGGACAAGGTGAAGTCCTGGCTCTGCCGCTCTCACTGTATGACCTTGGGCAAGTTTGCTGACCTCTCCGTATCTCAGTGCCCTCAGTGGTAAAATGCAGCTGATACTAGTATCTACCTTCTAGGCTGATGGTTGGCTGTGACAGGAGGTGGTGGGATCAGGCTGCCAGGACAAGGAGACGGGCGCATGGGGTAGCTCATGCTTCCAAGAGGGGAAGCCACAGCAGGGCCTTAAAGGATTTAGTGCTCTAGTTCCACAGGAGTCCCAGCTGAGGGCTGGGAAAGGATGGCCTGCAAGGGTGTACAGTGGGTGGGGGTGGCATCTAGAGATACTGCCTGAGGCTGTACTATTCAGGGTTTCCTAGGTCTTTAGAAAGAGTTTAGGGTTTTTTTTTTCTAAGGGCACTGAGGCACCTAGGCAGGCTGGGGACTGGGGGATGGTCTAACAAACTATTGCGCCTTGCTCAGGACTAGGGGATCCGGGGCGCCTACAGTTAACAGCTAGGAGCACTGCCCTCAAGATTGGAACTTTATTCTCTTGGTTTGAGAAACCACGCATTTTTCACACGGGGGGGAACTGCCCCTAAATTGCTCAAGGTCACACAAATAATTGGCAGGAGGGCTAGTGTCCCGGCTCTGGTTCGGCGCTGGGCCCGGAGCTGCCCTGCAACCACACCCACCCACCCGAGAAGCCGGGACGGGGAAATCCCACCGTGGAAGCCCTTCTCCCCTCGCCCCCCGCCCCGAACTTCCGCGGCCTTGGCACACGGTAACTTTGGGAGCCTTCCTCCCCCGGGCCCCGCGCGCCCCCTTTCGCCCTCCCCATTGGCTCGTTCTAAGAAGGGCGCTGCCTAGGAGCCCTCTGGTCACCTTGTCCTCCGCGCGCTCTATGGCGAGAGGGCTCTGCGCACGCGCGCGAAAGACGCCTTCGGGGCCCGCGCTTTACGACACTTGTGCAGCAGCGGCAGCAGCAACTCGGCACTCCTTCGCGACGATTCGGCCGGGTGCCCCTGGCGGCCGTTGCCAAGGTGGGGGTCGCTTTGCGGCATGGCGATGGCGGAGGGCGAGCGGACTGAGTGTGCTGAGCCCCCCCCGGGACGAGCCCCCGGCTGATGGCGCTTTGAAGCGGGCAGAGGAGCTCAAGACGCAGGCCAACGACTACTTCAAAGGTGAGCCCACCCCGGAGGGGACCAAGGGAGGGTGGAGAGCGGCCCCAGGGCAAGGGGTGCCCGGCCCGCGCGGAACCATGGCAACGCGGAGCGGCAGCCTGGGCGCGGGGCAGACACTACCAAGTGACCCGGCGTGGGGGGGCCCAGGATGGCGCTACGAGGGGGCAACAGAAGGGGCTTCTGACAGAAGGGGTGATACCTAGTGGTGGCGTTCGGAGCGGGTGCTACTAAGTGGGGAGACTGGGGAGGGCGCTACCAAGTGTGAGGCGGGAGGGGGACGGGAACGAGGGCATATCCGTCTGTGAGATCCTTGAGAGGTGCTAGCTATGGTGAGACCTGAAGAGGGCGCTGTCAAGTAGTGACAGGGGCCTGGGGAGTGATGGTGCTACCAAATGGGGAGATCTGGGGTGGTGGCACCAAGTGGGGCGTGGGGGGCACTGTCCCAATAGAGTAGGGAATTGCGGGGGTGGGGAATAGATCATTAGGTGGGAGGGCAAGGAGATAGGAGATTTGGGGTTGCACGAGGAAAAGGGATGCGTGGGAGGCCTTGGGAGTAAAGGTGGGAAATCCCAAGAATAGTATGACATAAGATCTTGGGAAAGAGTAAGATGTGGGGGCACTCATTCATTCACTAATTCAACATGTTTATTGAGCACCTGCTTTGTGCTAAGGCCTGTGCTAGGCTCTGGGGATTTAGCAGTGAATGAGGCAGATGTGGCCCTGCCCTTTTATAGCATGTAATTTAGCAGGAGAATCAGACATTGGGTAAAAACACAAGAAATAATAAAATACTTAGAAGTTGTGAGGAATGCTTTGGAAACAACCCCCACAGGGTGTGAGGTAGAGAACAAGGGCTGGAGGCTACTTTAGAAAGCATGGTCAGGGAAGGCCTTACTGAGAAGAAGGCATTTAAGTTGAAAAGAATCTCAAAGGAGTGTTCCAGGTGGGTGCAGCCACATGTATAAAGGTCTTGAGGTAGGAAATGAAAGGCTGGCGTGGCTGAAACTTTGGCAAGTTAGCGGGGAGACTGATACAAGATGAGTTTAGACCAGGGCCAGAACCAGACAGGGTTTCAGAAGTCACTGCAAAGCTAGTTTGGATTTTACTCTAAGAGGAGACATTGAGTAGATAGATGGGCCAGCCTGGAGCTCCAAGGAGAGTTTGGGCATGGTCAGCCTATGAATGGAATAGAACACCTGGGAATGGATGAGGTCATATAGGGAGAGAAGGGGCCCGAACCTTGAGGAATTTTAATGTTTAGAAAAGAAGGAGAAGAGGCTGAGGAGGAGGAGTCAGTGAAGTGGGAGGGAAGTTGGGAAAGGTGTCAGGAAAGATGAGAGAAGAGAGTGCTTCTAGAAAGAGAGGGCTATGCCTTGGGTCGGGTGCTGCCAGGGTGAGCACTGAGCCTTGGCTATTGGATTTGGCTCCACGAATGTTGGTGGTAGCCTTAACAGAGCAGTTTCTGGGGAATAATGAAGGTGGTAGTCAGCTGGGTAGTCACTCACCCAAAAGTGAACAGGAAGTGAGGAAGTAGAGACAGCAGATGTTGACAAAGTGGTTCGAGTATTTTGGTCCTAAAAGGGAGTGGAGAAACAGGGAGGGGGAGCTGCTTTTTTTTTTTTTTTTTTAAACGGATGGATGAGTCTAAGAGTCTGGTCCCATAGCCAGAATTGATCCTGCAGGAGAGAAGGGAGACTTAGAGCAGCAAAGCCTGGGAGAAGGGAGTGGGGGAGGAATCTAGAGCCTTAGTGGCCTTCAGTTGGCCTTTAGTGGGAGCACAAGGGGATTCAGAGTGGGAGCATTTGGTCAGGCTGCAGCAACAAGGATGTAGGACCTGTGAGGGATGAGGCTGGAGGTGGAGTGGGGATGTCATCCTCAGGGTGGTGGGGAGGCATGGTAAGATCCCCCAGCTTCTTGGCTGGCATTGGATGCAAGGGCAGAGCTGGAGCCAGGAAGGAGACTAGGGTGGTGGACAGGTGAGGGACGGTGGCATTGCTGACCAGAGACAGAAACCAACTTAAGAAATGTCTCAGAGAGGAAATGAGGGCTGGAGAGAGGGAGGAGGGAGTGCCAGGCAGAAAGAACAGGATGGCAGAGGCCTCTCCCGGCAAAGGGGGGCAGGGCCCAGCACCGAGAAAGTGAGTGGGGCTGGAGTGTAAGAGGCAAGGGAGGAGCCTGAGCTTTCTGCTGGGGACTCTGGGGAGCCATGGATGGTTCTGAGAAAGGGAAGGACAGAGTCAGGTCTGTGCTTTAGCCAGACCCCCTGCAAAGGGGCAGGACTGGAGGCTGGGAGAGCAGGGAGGAGGAAGGGGGAGGAACCTGGGCCGAACAGGATGAAGGCCAGACTGGGGCAGGGCGGGGCTGTAGGGATGGAAGTGGATGAATAAATCTGAGATGTTGGGGAGGCTGACTTGACAGAACATGGCCACTGCCTGGCGTTGGGGGGTTGAAGGGTCAGGAGAAGTGTCCAGGACAAGGCACGGTCTCCAGCTGGGGGATGGCAAGGAAGGTGGGGTTGTCCCTGAAATGGGGCTAGGAAAGAGCAGCCAGCACGAGGCTTGATGCTGAGGCAAGGTAAGAATTCTGGGAAACAGTAAGCCATGGGGAGGGGCCCCCTGCGCCCCAGGACCTGGGCGCTCAGAAACCCTGAGGCTGGGCAGGCAGCCAGAGGTGCTCGCATTGAGTTGGCAGAGGAGAAAGCTCCTCCTGGTCCAGGCCGCTCGCTGTCTGGCAGGCAGTGGCAGGCACAGAGCCCCAGCCTCAGGGGCTGTGGGAATAACAATAAAAAGAATAATTACAGCTCTCCTTAATTGAGCCCCTGTGGTGGCCAGGTACACCACTTTGCTTAATCTGCCCCGTGGCACTGGGAGGTAGGTAGGAGCAGCCCTGTTTGTTTTATAGAGGAAGCTGAGGCTCAGAGAAGTGAAACCACTTGCCCAAGGTCAGAGTGTGAGCAGCAGAGCCCGGATATCCCCCTTCCTCGCCGCGTGCTTGGCTCCCATGTTCAGAGTCCTTACCTGGAGCCTGCAGGGGGAAGAGGGTAGCCCCCCTGCCGACACGGCTGGATCCCCTCTGTGAGCTCGGAGCCTGGTCCCCGATGTTGCTCTGCTCTCTTCCCCTCTCTCTGGTCCTCATCGCCCCCCCTCCTGTAAAATGGGAGGGGTTGTATTTAACCCCCAAAGAGGCCTCTGGGTCTAAGACTTTGTAGACATGGTTAAGATCTCGGGCTGCCTGGATCCAAATCTTGTTTCTTTCTCCAGCATGCTGTGTGACCTCCAGGCAAATGACTTAACCTCTCTGTGCCTTTGTGGCCTCATCTCTAAAATGGGGACCGTCTCGAGGGTTAGATGCACCCAATTTGTAAAGCAGATAGAACAGGGCCGGGATACGGTGTCGTTGGGTAGATGCGTGAAGTGCAGTCCGCTCCCATTTCCTCTGATTCTCCTCTTCTCCTCAGTCAGTCATGTATTCACTTCTTTTGCAAGTATCTGCTGATGGTTTTCTCTGCTGTGGCCACATTCCATATGAGAGTTTATTTAGCCCTCACAGCTCGGCGAGGCAGGGCACGGCCGATCGTGATTCCTGCATTTTCAGATGAGCCAGTGGAGATGCAGGGAGGGAAGGCTGTTTGCCTGAGGCCTCGTGGTCAGCATTCGTAGAGCCAGGTGTCAGGCCATACGGCCACTTGAGTAGCACCTCAGCCGTCGAGAGAGCTGGCCAGCTGGCCTCTGGAACGCAGCCAGGAGGCTGGAGGTAGTCCTCGAAGGCACTGGCATTCCAGGGAGGGTCCGTCAGGCTTAGGCTGTCTGGTTCTGCCCTTGCTTGTTTCTGGGAAGTCCTGGGCCTGCCCTCCGGGGCTCCCAGTCCTGAAGAGGCACACTCATCACCTAACGGCGACAAACCCAGAATGGGCAGGGCTGGGATAGGTGAGCCCAGGGCCCGGGGCAGCCCGAAGGAGTGCGTGACCCAGCCTGGGGGTCAAGGAGGGCTTCCCAAAAGAGGGGACATCGGAGCCATTTGAAAGATCGCCATTTATTAGGCTGCAGGAGGAATTGTTCTCTTGTTCCTGGCCGTCTCCCCAGGACCTGACTTCTCCTTTTCCTAGTGTCAGTGTGTCTGCCTCTGTCTCCCTTCCTTCCTTTATTCACTGAGGAACTATTCATGGAGCCTGGAACCCTCTTCTTCCATTTTCTTCCCCTGACTCACTCTTGCTCACTCTTTCTCATCCTCCAGGTCTCCCGCTCTGGCAACCTCTTGGTCTGTCCCTGTGCTGAACGCTCGGGGTCATCAGTGTCTGGAGAGGGTGTGTGTGTGTGTGTGTGTGTGTGTGTGTGTGTGTGTGTGTGTGTGTCCCCGACCTACTGTGTGTGTGTGTGTGTGTGTCCCCGACCTACTGTGTGTGTCCCCGACCTACTGTGTGTGTGTGTGTGTACTGGACTGTGTGTGTGTGAGAGAGACCGACCTACTGGACCGTGAGCCCCAGGAGGGCAGGGCAGAGGGGGTACTGTGTCTTCGGACAGGGCAGGGCTCAGAGAAGTAAGACAAACAGGGCTCCAGGCCTCACAGGGCTTAGGTTCAATTTGGGGAAATGGAAATGGATTATAAGCAAACAAAACAAAGGTTTATCATGGTTTATCCAGTGGCACTGGAGAAAAGAGGTGGGAGTTAGGGCAAGCATTCCCATTTTAGGCCAAGTGCTAGGAGAAGGACTCCCAAACTCAGGTCCAGAGGGGGTAAGTAAGTTGCCCAAAGACACCTGGCAAATAAGAGATGGAGCCAGGGATTGGGCCCAGGCCACCAGCCCTCATGCTAGGCTTCCTCTCAGGGCCACCTGGCACAGAGTAAGAATGGGAGTGTTTGGGTCTCAGCTTGTCCCCCAATTCCTGCCTACCACTTGCCTTGTGACCTCAAGTGTGGGCTTTCCCTCTCTGAGCGTCAGGACCCTCATCTGGAAAATGGGGCTAATGCAGCTGTCCTCAGGGGTATTGTGAGGGTTCAGGGAAGGGACTCATGTACCAAGAGCCCATGGGACTTGGCACATCATGGTCCGCCAAATCAGGCAAGCCTCTGTGCCTTAGCCTCCTGCCTGTCGAATGGGCACATGGGAAGGGTCCAAGCCTGGCTCTGCAGATACAGACCAGGTGTCTGACCTTGAACAAGACCTCCGTGGCTCGGGCATCTGGGTGGCTCAGATGGTTAAGCTTCTGCCTTCAGCTCACGTCATGATCCCAGGGTCCTGGGATCAGGTCCCGCATCGGGCTCCCTGCTCAGCGGGGAGTCTGCTTCTCCCTCTGCCTCTCTCTCTCTCTCTCTCTCTCATGAATAAATAAAATCTTAAAAAAAAAAAAAGACCTCCGTGGCTCATCTGTAAAGTGAGCACCAGACAGTGCCTGTGCCATGGAGGTGTGAGGATCTCTGGGTCAAGATACAAAGTGCAGGGCACAGCCATAGCTCATTTCAGATACAATGAACCTTTTCCCCATGGCCAGACGGCACATCCTGCTGCTCTGCACTTAGGACCGCAGTGTCCGCACCCTGCTGTGGCTGTGGCCTGCAGGATCTGTCTTACCGGCCTCCCTGCCCTCATCCCCTTGCATCTTCCCGCTCGCTCCACCCAAGCCACACCAGCCTCTCACTGGTCCTGGAACACAGGCTTGTGCTAGCAGCACACCCCTCCCCGCCCCGCCCCAGGGCCTTTGCCCCTCCTGTTCCTTCTGTTGGAAATGCGTTTCCTCTTGTCCAGTTTGTTGCTTCTTTTGGGTCTCTGCTGCTGTGTTCCCTGCTCCTTGAGGCCTAAGTAGATTCCTTCTCCTTTCCCACGTCCTGTTCTCCTACTGGGCCCCCTCTTTGGGCTTGTTTACTTGTTTTGGGGGGCTGGACTACCAAGGGGCTCAGGGCAAACTCATTTGCTGATTCACAACATCTCAGCTCTGGTACTCGAGTGTATCTTCTCCGGGCCATGGGACTGCAAGAAGACCCTCCTGAGGTTCTGGAAGAAGTATCGCCCAGGTTGGGGCCTTAAGGGGTGATGGCTGGGTGGGTGTGTGGAAGTGACTTTGAGTCCTGGAGATTTGAACCTGAGGGGACCGTTGGGACAGGGAAGAAGGGACAGGCTGAGTAGACATTTCTGAGCTCAGCTGCGGACCTCGGTTTCCCCATCAGTGCATGTGGAGACTGGGCCAGTACCCAGCCTGTGGCCCGTTCTTACTGGGTGGCAGCAGCCCTGCCTCATGCCGCCTCCTCCTCCATCTCCACAGCCAAGGACTACGAGAACGCGATCAAGTTCTACAGCCAGGCCATCGAGCTGAACCCCAGCAATGCCATCTACTATGGCAACCGCAGCCTGGCCTACCTGCGCACCGAGTGCTACGGCTACGCGCTGGCCGACGCCACACGGGCCGTTGAGATAGACAAGAAGTACATTAAGGGCTACTACCGCCGGGCCGCCAGCAACATGGCACTGGGCAAGTTCCGGGCTGCCCTGCGTGACTACGAGACGGTGAGCCGGGCCTCGGGGAGTGGGCCGCCTCCCGGCACCTGAGCCGGGTGGGTGGCGTCCACCTTGGGCCAGATGGGGCGGGCGGGGGAGCGTGGGGGAGCAGGGATGGCCTCAGGGTGCGTGGCTGGCGGGGGAGGGAGGGTGTGAAGAGGCCGTCTGCCTGTTCATCCACCCCTCACCCATCCGACAGATAAAGTGTGTTCACATCCCAGCTCTGCCATCACTTGCTTGGTGACCCTGGATGAGTTACCTGGCCTCTCTGTGCCGCCTGGTCCACAGCATGAAATGGGGAGAACACCAAGACCTGCCTCTGAGGGTTGCCATGAAGAATCAATGAGTTTCTGTTTTTCAAGCGTTCAGACCAGTGCCTGGCCCGTAGCCCCCGCCCTGTGACAACGCACTGTTGGGGTTTTTGGCTGTTGGTGACCAAGAGCCATGCAACCCGTCTTTCAGCGGAGCTGTAATTTGGAGGAAGGCAAAACCCAAACCTGTGACTTAGAGTAGGCAAACAGAGTTATGGCAGGCGAGGATATGTGCTTGAAAGGAGGCAGAACAGGGCCATATGCTGTAGAGGGCAGCAGATGGGGCACGTGTCGTGATGAGACGAGGGAGGGGACCTAGAGCATGGCAGGTCACTAGTTCACCCGCTCATTGGCCACTCCCATCCCTGTGATTTCCTCTGATGGTCATGATAGGCGTGAGGACATCAGAACGCATGCGTTCCTGCCAGGCATGTCCGTGCCCTCCGTGCGGACTGGCAGAACGAATCGTTGTGGCAGCCCTGTGGGAGGGGGGCTGGTGATGAACCCCATTGTGCAGATGGGGAGGCTGAGGCCCAGGGAGTTGGGTCACCTGTCTGCCAACATGCGACTGGCAAGTGGCAGACCTGGGGTTTGAACCCCTGGCACCTGTGTCTACTGCTTCGGAGAGCCTGACAGGAGGGGTTTTGCTTATTCTGTTCATTGGGTCATTGCATGGCACCAACAGGGGCTCAGTCAGAATGTGTTGCATTATTCTGCACTCCACCCCCCCATACACACCCCCATACTCCTTCCTTTTGTTTCCTTCACTGCTGGGCACTGGGCAGCTTCTGTTGTGTGGGGAGGGGCGCCTAGGGGGTTGAGAGCCACAGGCCACAGTTGGAGGGAGTGGGGCTGGCTGCTGGCCTGGGCTGGAGGGTGGATTTCAGGCCAAGTGAAGTCTTGAGCCAAGCCCTGGGCCAAGGGACACCTGTATCAGGGTGGGGGCAGGGGCATGGAAGAGGCGGTAATGTAGAGACTGGGGGGGCAAAATGGAGGAGGTAGTGGGGTGACACCTAGGAAGATGGGGGAAGGAACAGTGGGACAATGCTTAGGAGCTTCAGGTCTCAGGCCGTTCCCCAGCCTGGCCTACGCCTTGTCACCTGGTGTCCTCATCCAGAGAATAGCAGCAAGAGGAGTGGCCACCTCCTGGGTGGCCATGGTGTGAGTAGAGGTTAACTGGGGCAAAGGGTCCATTAATGAGTAACCCAGGAGGGCCCTCAGGGTTGGACGGGGGCAGGGTTTTTCTGCAGGGCTCCCAGTGCGGGGACAGGCCTGGAGGAGACGGGGTGGGGCAGGGGACCGACGAGCCTGAGCGCGGGTCTGTGGCAGGGTCTTCCCCAT